CTGTCATTGAAGCAGTTGAGATTGGACATTTCTAGTGACTGTTTTTCTTTTTCATGATTCAGAATTCTGTCTAAGTTAGAAGTGACCAATACAGGGAAAAAAAAGATAGATAGATAGATAGATAGATAGATAGATAGACAGACAGATTTATAGATACATAGATAGACAAATAGATATATTTATAGATAGATAGACAGATTTATAGATAGACAGATTTATAGATAGACAGATTTATAGATAGGAAGATAGATTTATAGACAGATTTATAGATAGATAGATAGGAAGATAGATTTATAAATAGATTTATAGATAAATAGATTTATAGATAGATAGAAAGATAGATTTATAAATAGATAGATAGATTTATAGATAGATGTATATATAGATAGATAGCTAGATAGATTTATAGATAGAAAGATAGATTTATAAATAGATAGATCAATAGATAGATAATTGAAAGAAAGATAGGTAGATATATAGATCGATCGATAGATAGAGACAGATAGACAGAATTAATTAATGTTTACACCTATTTGTGTGATAATAAACTAGCACATACCCCTCTCAAGTCATGCAGAGCACATATCAATGAGGAGTGTGATCACTGAGTGAAAATGATTAACTGAAAAAGTTTAACAATGTCTTTTGTGACGCACAAAAACTATACAATGAGAAAGTATCAAATAACAAACCAATGTTAACGTCTCCAGACCCCATTGTCATGGTGAGTTCAGGGATGCATAAACTCCATATTTAACACACCCACATTTCAGGCAGGCATGTTAACCCTACGTGGAAATGAAAAACATGTGTATATACTTTCTACTCATGTCATTTTCAGTGCTGGAGAGGCACATCATTATAAACACTTTTTGTTTTCTGTGGTAGCTTAAAGATTCATTTTGCCCCATGATAGCATCATAATATCCATATATGTTTAATTGGGCAGAGAGCCTGAGTGACCACAGGATTCTGTTTTCCATTGTTATTTCCCCTCTATAATAGTGTAATAAGCTTTTTCTTTAGCCTGATCGCAACATTAGGGCGTACTATGCTGTCCTAAAATAGGTGGGCTTTAACCCTGTTAGGGCGGCATAGCACTCCCTAAAAATATACAGCTTGTCACCGCTATCACTGTTACAATGTCTTTGCCCACAACAAGAGGACATAGTCTTAAATTAGAGGGGCAAAGGTTTAAAAATAATATCAGGAAGTATTACTTTACAGAGAGGGTAGTGACGGAACGCTGGCACTCCGACTGAGTACCTCCGCCAATCGATGCGCCTAGTGCTCGCGGAGGACTCCAAGCACTCCAACCGACACCATCAGCACTGTAGACCCCACTTCCAGCGATACAGCTGCGCCGGGGTCTCACCGTCTCCACCCATCCTGGATCCACGACCAGGATCCAGCTCCCAGTGTGTGAACCTCTCCTAAATCCAGAGAGCGTAGCAGGAACAAATCAAGCTATTGCAAGAGTTTACTCTGGGGAGTAAGTAATTATAGCAATCCCCAGAGTGTAGTTTTCCAATCCCCCAAACATGAGCCAAGGCTTAATGCTGGAACAAGACTTTACTGGAAGTAGCAACAACAGGTATTCAAGCTACAGTTTCTTTTATGCCCTGCTCCCATGCAGGGGAGGGACACACACATTATCTACAGTAGCCAATAAAACAGAGGTTACAGCCCACACAAAATCCTCCCCTCTGCCTGTGATTCAATTAACGTATTCAATAGAAGATGCAAGTATCACAGGCAGGAAAAATACAGTTTTTACAGCATATTCATAACTTCTAAAATATACATCATATTCACATAAAAATATATATACAATCAATCCATTCAGGGAAACAACATATCAAAAAATGGCATGAATCAGACCAGGGGTTCAGAAGTTAGTAAAGTATCTTTTGGGGCCTGGCTGGCAGCATGGCTATCTGGCCCAAACCGGTTTTACAGAGCCCTCTATCCTGGAGACAATGGGGAAAATAATCCAATTATCTAGGGATAGAGGCAGACTCCATTGAGCACATGTTCCCAGTAAAACACAAAAGGATACAAAAATACATAACTCCTATCATACTGAATTGAACGGGCCAAATTTCCCAGGGTCCATAGTCACAGGGCAAGAGGCGGGCAAGCAGTCCTCTCCAGGCACAAGTGGCGAAGGGCACTTCGTCACAGTAATAAATCCATGAATAAAGTAGCAGGGAGGGAAAGTACCGAATGAATGGAGGGGGATTCTTCACAGCATGGAATAGGCTTCCAGCTGAAGTGGTAGAGATTAACACAGTAAAGGAGTTTAAGCATGTGTGTGATAGGCATAAGGCTATCCTAACTATAAGATAAGGCCAGGGACTAATGAAAGTATTTAAAAAATTGGGCAGACTAGATGGGCCGATGGGTTCTTATCTGCCGTCACATTCCATGTTTCTATGTTTCTATTCTATTATTTGTACGGTTGGCGAGAGAAGTGGATAAATCATTGATACTTACCGTTAAAAGTGTGTAAAAGCTATCAAATTTTTTTTTTTTAAATTTAGATCGATTTTTTTCAACCCCACGGTACCCTGTGATCAGTCTGAATATGGCGATTTGTACATTAGTACAGTGGGACCTCGGTTTACGAATTTAATGCATTCTCAGGGATGTTTCATATTGCGAAAAATTCGTAAACCAAAACACTGTTTCCCATAGGAATGCATTGAAAACCAATTAATGCGTTCCAGAGGTGAGAAAAAAGTCAAATAGAGTATTTTATCTGTTCAAAACTCTTTATAAAGTACACTTTAAAGGCATAAATACTGTACAGGGACATGATTAATCAAGCAATAACATTTCAAACATCCAGCTTTATGTTTTAAAACATCACACATAAACTTTTAAAACATGGCAGACTGTTGGTAACATGGTACAGTACACTTCAACTGTACATAAATCACACATCAACAGGGAAAACATGGAACATTTCAAAACAATTGTAACACTTTTTGGAAGATGAGGAGGACGAGGGCAATTGGGCAGCACTAACACAAGCAGGTTCTTCTTCATGTCTAGGCGGTTTTTGTAGGAACCTTTCCATTGTCTGCTGCCTCTGGTGCCTTTTAAGCATCCCTCGGAAAGGGGACATTATGTCTGTGTCAAAACTGCTCACAAGTCTGTGGGCTAGAGCCTTATCTGGGTGGTGCGGCTGTACAAAAGTCTGTAGGTTTACCCACATTTGGCATGCCTCCTTGAGTTCCGTGGAAGAGAGCTGTTCCTCACTCATTTCCTCCTCCTCCTCAAATGCGGTCTGCTCCTCCATCGCCTCCTTCTGCAATTCCACCAGCTCCTCGGTGGTTAGGTCACGGTCATGTTCCTCCACCAGCTCGTAGACATCCTCCTCAGTCACCTCCAGGCCAAAGGTCCTGCCCAAGGAAACAATTTCCTCCAACACTGTTGACTCTGGTGCAGGTGCAAAAGCACTGGAGGCAGGTTTCACAACACAGTCTAGCCACAGTTTGTGCCAAGCAGAATTTAGGTTTGTCTGGCTGACCCCGGCCGAGGCAATTGGGATAATCTGCAGACAGCTCACAATGTCCAAATGCTCTCTCCAATTCATGGAGGGTGAGGCTTGAGCAATCTGTCATCTTAAAGCATCGCCGGAAAAGCTCCCTTGTGTAGAGTTTTTTAAAATTGGAGATGACCTGCTGGTCCATTGGCTGGAGTAGTGGGGTGGTGTTAGGCGGAAGGAACACGACCTTGATGAAATCAAAGTGCTGTAGTGGTTATTGTGCCTGGGTTGTTTCTTTAAATAATCTACCAGTGCCCCTCCTGAGATTAGGTTCTGGATTTGTGCTTGAACGGCAAGCATGTCTGCCAAACAGGGGCCCAGTATATGCCGCTGCGCTTTACATATATACAACCTAGGAAATTATTTTAACTTGGGGCACCTTGGAAAAATATCAAAATATTAAGGGTGCCTTGAACCTAAAAAGTTTGGTAACCACTGGGCTAGACCAAACATCTCAAAATATGTAATTTGGAATATCTTCGGTTGCCTACTTTTAAAAATAGTATGCCATAATGGTTTAAATGTTGTCACTCAGGATGCCAAACTCTCTCAAAGGTGACATAGGACCATAAGATCACTTTGCCAAATTTCCAGGTATGAAGACTGAGATGCAAAAGCCATATACTTGACCATGTAACTTTCAAAAAACTCCATAAAACATGTACATGGGGGTACCGTTGTACTCGTGAGACACAAATCTGAATGTTTTAAAGCAGTAAGAGGTAATGACGATATCATCAGTGAAATTGCAAATTGTTTGGGAAAAATGCAAAAAACACTAACTTTGGCCAGGGTTTGTAACTATGTGGCTATTAAACATAGCCCATTTTGAATATCCTAGGTTTTGCACATTTGCAGATGGCATGCAACGATGGGGGTAATTTTTGTTTCTGGGATATGATATGGTCTTAAAGGCAAAATGGGGCCAGCAAACCAATCTGGCAAATTTCAATATGTAAAAACTGAATTGAGTAAGCCCAATATTTGATCCTGTAACTTTCCCCCAAAAAATGACCATGATATCATCAGTGAAAGTGACGTGTTTGTGTGAAAAAAAACCCAAAACAACTAATATGAACACTAACTGTAGCCAGGGTTTGTGACTAAGTGTCTACTAAAAAAAGACTAAACATACCTCATTTTGAATACCCTGGTTTGTACACTTTTGCAAATGTTATGCAATAATAGGGGCAATATTCATTCCTGGGCTGCCTTACTGTTTCAAAGGTAACATAGGCCCTGGCAACATTTAATGTGTGAAAATTGAAATAGGCAGTGCAGCACTTTACCCCACAAAAGTGCAGCCCCTTACCCACCTACTGTGCAGTACCATACATCCGACAGTACAGCCTCTTCCCCCCCCCCACAGTGCAGTTCCATACTGCCCACAGTACAGCCTCTTACCCCACAGTAAAGTCCCTTACCCCATCCACAGCATTTACTCCATGCATTTAGGGCCAATTATTGGATATTGCTGAACAGGTTCCCGGCGAGCCACAACAATCCTTTAAGAGGGAGACCAGGCCCCTGTAGTATCGGCCAGCTGGGAAGAAGTGACAGTCAATCACTTCCTCCCAGCTACATAAGAAAGCCTGCGCGGGAGAGAGGAGGTGGTGGCGCACGAAGATAGAATGGGAAGGAGAGGCAGGAGTGAGCTGCTATAGATCTTCACTCCCATCAGCCCCAGCCAGCATCACCAGGACCCCAAGCAAGCCACACTCATGGACACAAAAGGTATGCTAACACTAGAGTGGCTGCAAATATACATATATCTGCATGTGTGTCAGGTTGTGTATCTTTGTTTCTGTGTGTCATTCTGTGTACCTGTGTGTCTGTATCTGTATGTGTGTCACTGTGTTCATATGTGTCTGTGTACCTGCATGTGTTTCAGTGTATGTGTGAATGTGTATTACAGTGTGTGTTGCAGTGTACAGTGAGGGGAAAAAAGTATTTGATCCCCTGCTGATTTTGAACGTTTGTCCACTGACAAAGAAATGATCAGTCTATAATTTTAATGGTAGGTGTATTTTAACAGTGAGAGACAGAATAACAACAATAAAAAACAAACAAACAAAAAATGCATGTCAAAAAAGTTATAAATTGATTTGCATGTCAATGAGTAAAATAAGTATTTGATCCCCTATCAATCAGCAAGATTTCTGGCTCCCAGGTGTCCTTTATACAGGTAATGAGCTGAGATTAGGAGCACTCTCTTATAGGGAGTGCTCCTAATCTCAGTTTGTTACCTGTATAAAAGACACCTGGGAGCCATAAATCTTGCTGATTGATAGGGGATCAAATACTTATTTTACTCAATCAATCAGATTCCAAACTCTCCACCATGACCAAGACCAAGGAGCTATCCAAGGATGTCAGGGACAAGATTGTAGACCTACACAAGGCTGGAATGGGCTACAAGACCAAAGCCAAGCAGCTTGGTGAAAAGGTGACAACAGTTGGTGCGATTATTTGCAAATGGAAGAAACCCAAAATAACTGCCAGTCTCCCTCCGTCTGGTGCTCCATGCAAGATCTCACCTCGTGGAGTGAGGAATCAGCCCAGAACTACACAGGAGGATTTTATTAGTGATCTCAAGGCAGCTGGGACCATAGTCACCAAGAAAACAATTGGTAACACACTACGCTGTGAAGGACTGAAATCCTGCAGCGCCCGCAAGGTCCCCCTGCTCAAGAAAGCACATGTACAGGCCCGTCTGAAGTTTGCCAATGAACATCTGAATGATTCAGAAGAGACATAGGTAAAAGTTTTGTGGTCAGATGGGTCCCGAATCAAGCTCTTTGGCATCAACTCACCCTGTTTGGAGCAAGAATGCTGCCTAAGACCCCATCCCCACCGTCAAACATGGAGGTGGAAACATTATGCTTTGGGGGTGTTTTTTGCCAAGGGGACAGGACAACTGCACTGCATTAAAGGGATGATGGACGGGGCCGTGTGCCATCAAATCTTGGGTAAGAAGCTCCTTCCTTCAGCCAGGGCATTGACATTGGGTCATGGATGGGTATTCCAGCATGACAATAACCCAAAACACATAGTCAAGGCAACAAAGAAGTGGCTTAAGAAGAAGCACATTTAGGTCCTGGAATAGCCTAGCCAGTCTCCAGACCTTAATCCCATAGAAAATCTGTGGAGGAAGCTGAAGGTGCAAGTTGCCAAATGTCAGCCTTGAAACCTTAATGACTTGGAGAGGATCTGCAAAGAGGAGTGGGACAAAATCCCTTCTGAGATGTGTGCAAACGTGGTGACCAACGATAAGAAACATCTGACCTCTGTTATTTTGGGTTTGGCCACCAAGTACTAAGTCGAAAGGGTCACCTGGGAGCCAGAAATCTTGCTGATTGATTGGTGATCAAATACTTATTTCACCCATTGACATGCAAATCAATTTATAACTTTTTTGACATGCGTTTTTCTTGATTTTGTTTTTGTTCTTCTATCTCACTGTTAAAATACACCTACCATTAAAATAATAGACTCATCATTTCATATCAAAGGACAAACGTTCAATATCTGCAGGGTATCAAATATTTTTTTCCATCACTGTATGTGTATATGCGCATACATCTTAGCATTCAACAGCCCACATCACACATATATAAACCCCTGTATTCAAAATTCAACACTACATACAAACACAATCCTGCATTGAAATGTCAACACTACATACAAACACATCTCTATGTTAAATAACAGAATTATATATAAAACATCCCTGCATGCAAACACAAACACGACTCATAAATGCATGCTTGCATTCAAACGCCAACACCACATACAAACACACCCCTAAACCTTACACACACATACTCTATAGAAAACATGCTTACATTCAAACACACAAACACTGCTCAGTGCTAAATACAACCTTGCAAGCAGCCCCAGCTGAAAAAGCATTGTTAGAGTTGCATGACAAATGAGGATCTACCTTTTGGCCACACTTGCTATAGGGGGGCCTAAAAGAATTCTTGTATCTCTACTTTTGTTCTGCCACGCTTTGGGGTGGATGGTGTGATTGCATGCCAGAGAGTGGGGGTGGGGCAGGGTTCAAGCTGCCTAAGAAAATGCTTGACCATGGTTCAAGCAATGTTAAAGACGGACCTGATGCTCCTCAATGAGGAGCATTGGATTGGACCATCACGGAGGAGGCAGTGGACCATGATGGCAGGAAGGTGAACGGTGCCCGGAAAGCATCAACACTGCTGCATCAACACTGGAAAAATGTGAGCAAAACATAGATTTTTTTTTAATGACAAATGGAGGGGAATTTATGTAGAGCTAGATACAGGTACACTACAGCATTAGGAATACAGGTTTGCATTCCTAACGCTATATTGTTCCTTTAAGTGAGAGACACCGACGGCAAATGATAATTGGGTAACTAGAAATGATGTAGAATTGTACATCCTATTTCGTATCAAGAAGAATAGAGAGAAGAGGCGACAATTTGAAGTTACAAAAGGCATCAGGACACGAGACAGTCAAATTAACACTGAAAAAACAAAGAGTTTCTGCTATATTGTATATAAAAAAAAAAAAGTTTCGCATCCCTAATAGTGTTGGGTTTGGCCACCAAGTACTAAGTCGAAGAGGACCCGTGGAAGAGCACCTGAAGCCAGCAGTAAATTTATCAGTCACAGTGAGTAACCACTGTGTACTTAATTATTTTTACTTTTTTTATTGGAGTTGTGTAATAACGGCCATGTGCAGAGGAGATTTTCTACTTTTCTGTGAGTTTTTTGTTTGGTTTTATATTCTATTACAGAATTTTTTACTATTTTACACTTTGCAGTTAGAACTTAAAGCTCGATTGAGCTTCCCGTAGACTCAGACAGACTTAGACAGACCTGGCTGTCTTAATTCTCTCACAGCACATCTTGGATCTCATCTAGTGATTATGTCTTGAATGACGCTAAAACATTTCACAAAATACAGTTTAGTAATAGTTAGATAAATACTAACATATATAAAACATACTTTAAAAAAAAAAATATTATGCACAACAACTGTGTCCGTTTAAACATTGGTCTTTATTCACAACATTTCAGTGCTATCTCTTGACACAGTTCTTGACACAAATGCCAATCATTTAAGTCTCTACCTGTACTCAAGATGAAATTTAAGATTTAAGATGAAAATGTTTTATCTTTGTGTAATACTTTATTGTAAATGTTAAGATGACATTACCTAAATAAATAACTGAGCTATACTAAGCTTGTTTTATTACTAGACATGACCTATATGGTTGAGGCTCCAATACATTATCCTGTTTTATTTTATTTTTTTAAATTTCTCAATGCACACCCTAATGAAATGTGCTTTGCATGTCTACGCTTATTTCAAAGTACTCACCACCTTTATTTGAATGCACAGTCTCCTTAAAAGTTCCCTTCTCCGCAGCTCTGAACTTGCACTGCTCTCTGCTATCTGAAATCTCTCTCTCTCTCTTGCTGTCTCTTATCTTCGTAACTCCCTCCCATCAGCACTGTCAAGCTTCATCTCTCTCTGACTTTCAAAGTAGATTAACAGATCACCTATTAAATGTAAAAATTCACAACAAATTTCACTAACTCTTTACTATATCAATCAATACCATGGAGACACTTTTAAAGCCATAGCCATGACAAGAGGAGTGCCCCAGACACAATCTAAAGAAGAACAATAATCCTCATCTCCTATTCAGGTGTGATAACATGTGAAACATGCTATTGCTATGCTGTCAGCCATCTTGCTACTATCAGCCATTTTGTGGAATAAAACCAATGGAGTACAAACTATGTTTTCTTTTGGTTGTTTATAATATGGCTATCAATAAACAGAGTGTAAATTTACAATATATTTTATATGTTGCTTTGTTTTAATTTGACGTTTATTCACTTAACACAGACTCATGGCGTATTGAGAACCAAATGATAATATTTAGGTTAAAAGAAACAAACTATGACTATAACTGATTTGGAGAAATTTCACAAATTCTGCACTTTTTAACTAAATTTAGCAATTTAGCTTTCGATTAAACTACGATTAACTGCTTAGTGAATAATCTCTTTTCTCATTTTTAAAAATTCTTTGACATGTTCCTTGGATTTAAAAAAAAAAAACTAACAAAAACAAAACAGCATAATATTTGATAAAAACAGATAATGCATAGCTAACACAGACAATTGCAATTTGAGTATAAAATAGAGTTTCAAATACACCTAAAATATTAAAATGATGTAAATATTTATATATATATTTTTAATTAAACTTCTGCAGAGATACTAAAAAGGGGTTAAAATCTTGGAGATGACACAGAATAAATGAAGTATGCCAAAATTATGTTAATAAAATCTTTTACCTTATTGGTATTTGTAAGGAACCTGATTGTTCTTTTATGAATCAAATTCCTAACAATATCCATAGAACACAAAAATAACGTATGCCGATAAATGTTATATCTATAGATCTATACATTGCACTGCAGGCTGCTATGGCAGAAACCTTTCCTTCATCCTTCCACTGCCTACGGGTGTTTTGGCATTGTTTGGCCTTTGCCTTTTACAGTTCCTCTACAGAAATGCTCAGAGACAGAATAGAGATCTGGCAATTTGTTGTACTTGTTTTCTTTGCATAGTGAAGACCTAAGCTGAAACAAAGAAGAAGATGGGGAAGGTGGGACTAAAATTTGATTTGCCTTGCTGCATAGTCTGTGCATACATTGTATACAGACATTGTAGGGGCAGATAAAATAGAATTTTAGAGAATCTGATAAATAAAAAATATTTGCGATTCCATTAACATTAATTGTTTCCATTTTCCATTAATAAATATGTCCGTGATGTACATACTATAGAAATGCAGTAGAAAGATTTCAGTTATGTGTGGCTTTTTATAGCTGTTTATATGTTAATTTATAATGACACTTTGAAATGTTTCTTCTGATATCTTGTCATTTGATTGTTTATTTTCATGTGTTCTCCTTTTTAAAAATTACGGAAGTTTATGTGGTGTCTTTACACTTTGTAATGTAAATTTTACTGTCCTTTAAATAACTAATTTATATATTTTTTAAAATACAGTACGCAAGATTACTTCTTAAAGTACTGGTCTAGAATAAATGTGAAACGCGTTCACAACCCATTTAGGGTAATTATTAGCATTCATTGCTTCTCTCTCCCCGCCCCCTCTCCAGATACTTGGATCTAAAGCTTTTTGTTAGCTTATTCAGAATTTCATCTAGATCACATGTTACTTATGAGGTCTGTGAGTATTTTCTGTTCCAAATTGCATTTTATTCAATAAATGGAGTACTGTGCTAAGGATCCACCTTGTGGAAATGATTTGAAGCTTACTGATTACAAAGTGCAGTTCTTTTTTGGAATTGTAGTGAAGATGGAATTTGGACCCGTGGACCCGTGGAACCAGCACCTGAAGCCAGCAATAAATCTATCAGTCACAGTAAGTAACCACTGTGTACTTAATTATTTTTACTTTTTTTTACTGGAGTTGTGTAATAACGGCTATGTGCAAAGGAGATTTTCTACTTTTCTGTGAGTTTTCTGTTGGGTGTTATATGCTATAGGAAATTTGCTAATATACTGGCAGAATGCCTGGGTAATGTACCTTTACCAGTACAGATGCCAAGCCAGAAGCCATTTGCGACTGTTTGTTCTATTTCTGACTCCTGTTTGACTGAATGCCACATGAACTTGCTACATGACCCCAGCTCTGAGTGAATCCGGGCTGCCTTGAAGTGCAAATGTACTTTAACCTTGATTCACACGATCTGCACCCAAGCTTCATGCTTTAGTTATATATTTATCTCACTACTGCCTGATAAGCAAGGAGCACCAGCACCCTTTGAGATTCTGGATCAGCATAGATTATCCATAAATAATCTTTTTTTCAGTTTAAATGTATTTATTTTCATCAACATTTGTAGATATGGAAGAATTTGGGGCAATCGTCTAATTTGTTTACGATTCAAATTCCATGCTGTTTTATGACAGTACCACAAAGCAAACAAAAGAGCCAATGGGTGTGCCATTTTGTTTGTTTGGTGATATAGAGTTAACTATTTTCCGTCTGGTTGAAATAGTTAGAAAACAGCCCATGAGTAGTACAAAGGAAATTTTATATCTCCACCATGCCATGGGCATCAGGTGGGAGCTTCAATGTAAAGAACACAATTGGGCTATCAAAAAAAATTAAAGCATGGAATCCACCCCAGTGCCCACACAGTAGGGCTCTAACTAAATGAAAAATGTGAGGGGGACACAGTGTCAACAAGTGGGAGCTATAATTAGAATGAGTGAGGTGGACCACACAGTGCTGATGCATGGGAAGGAGGACCTAATGTCCCCCAGACTCCACCCATGGAATGTGGCTGATGGTCTGAGCTTATCAGGCAGGTGTGCGGTGAATATACTCCACCCATGGGTGGCTGGTCTAATGAAACATGCTGGGCATGTTCGTGCCATTGTCCACCCTAAAAAAATGTTGTCCAAATGTTGTGGCTAGTGGTCCCCAGACCCATATTAACACTCCAGTTTTTTATTTATTTTTTAAACTGTCTACCTCCTCACCATAATAAAATTGAGGGGGGAGGGGCAATATTCTTATACATGTAAAATAAAAAAATATATATACTTATCATTAAATATCTTCTTTCTTCAGTCGAAAAACAGGCAAAATAAAAACTCATAATGCCACTATTAAAAGAAAATGAATCACAAAAAATACAAATGAAAAAACATGCAACACCTAGAAAAAAATATTCATTCATGTTGGCCCAATGAGGTCTCTGTCTAGGCTTTGTCACAGGTGGCGATCCGGTGCCCGGGACCCAGACGCTGTCCGGGCGGCGGTGCGAGGACTGGGACCCAGTATGCCTGATAATAAGTGGGAGTCTTCAGCGTGGAAGTGGATTATCAGGGCCTGGTGCAGGGTAACCACATGTCCTCTGGTGTTGAGCACCAGCGTTTGCGCGGCCAAATACTAGAACCCTGATGCAGCTACAGCGGATCCCAGGAACTAGGAGCTTGATATGCAGACCTCCCAGGAACTGGATAGGGGGGCTCTGCAGCAGACATGTATCCAGTACAGAAAAAAGGCAAGGCTAGGATAGTCACCAAACATGACAACAAGACAGAACTAATAGAACCCAGATTCAGAGCAGGACAGAAAGCAGAACCCAGAACATGTACACAAGACATGAGGAAAACAAGAACAGGGCAGGACAGGACTGTACATGAACTGGGATTACAAAATAAAACAAGACAAGATATAATAGGCAAAACAAGAGGAGACATAACTAAGCACTATATATGACAAGTATGGGCATTTAGTTACATTATATGATCATACATTGCATAAGCCTGCCACAACGCCAATGTACCCCATATTCGGCAGGTCCTACACTGCCTAATGTAATAATTAGAGCCCTTAACTGCTGACCACAGGTAGAGGACCTCAACAGGAGATATGCAATAGTTCTGTTTCTCCTCTTGATTTGCAATGTTTGTCCTGGCTTTGTCTTGTCCGGTCTGAACTAGATAATCATTACATTTGCTAAATCTTTAATATAAACTTAAAATAAAATGGAACATCTCGTGAAAAACAAGTAACAAGTAATTGTCAGGGTTTTATTCAGTGGTGTAAATTCCAGAGCAATGACATTTCCACGCTAAGGGAAATCAGTTGATTATTCAAGGAGAAATTGTCTAGAGTAAATCATTGATTTTGCGATTGCAAGAATTCTGCATTCTATAATACAGGCGTCACATTTACATTTCTGTCCATCAGTATAAAGAAATTGTCAACGTTACAGAAAATGATGTGAATCTGGCAATCCTAAACTATACATACTCTAATGCAAAATAATTTACGTTACTGGCACCCAATTTACCAAGATTGGGGCACACACTCCAAAAATACCCCTAGCAATATATACAAAGAAAAAAATCTAAGATAATATCGCACTCTCACTTGAATGTTTTGAATGATGCTTATACAGGGCCTTTGATGGAGGAGATGTTCCTGAGCACGCAAGCCGGGTGGATGCTGTCCCATTGCACCCCCACATCAAGATGATATCCCAGACCCACATCAGGATAGAGAGCCACAGAAGGAAGCCATAAGAATAACAACCTGAATATTCCACAGGATAACCACTATTATCACCAAACTGGAACAGTGGACATTGAGATTTACTTCATTGGTGAATTTTTTCAGTTTTTTTATTTATGTATTCTTTATATGTGCATCTGACATACATAGAGTTTTCTCAATATGTATTTTTCCCTTTTTTTACATGTAAATTTTTTTTGTAATAATTTTTGATAATTTTTTTCTTTTTTCTTTCTACTCTCATTACATGCAGATTGTGTGGTATTCACGAGCTTACTGATCGCAGGCTTCCTTTATGGGGTATACTAATTGTATTCATGTGATTTTTTTTGGTTGATTTTTTTTCTTTATTTGCATTATATTTTTCTGTGGCTGACAAGTGTAGATATTCCAACAAATATGTAGGCACACTTTATTATTCCACTGTAGGATTTACTTTGTTGGCAAGGGTGACATGTTTATTTTTTTCAGTACTAAAAAAAATAAACATACAAATTATCTATAAGCATCATTCAAGTGAGAGTGCGGTATATTCTTTTTCTTTTTATACATATTCTTAACATATCAAAACAATTATTTGAAGGCAGACAGACATTCTTATATAGAAGAAACTATGTGATAACTTTGTATTAAAATGGAGTTATCGAAAACAGCATTTTACACACACCCAAAAAAAAAAAAATTCTGTCTGCAGTACCCATTTGAAAAGCTAGAACATAAGGTTCTGTAAGAATTAAAGAGGAATACTATGTGTGAGAACTTATGAGATATGAAATATATTTTAGACTATCAGTGATGGCTAACCTTGACAGCTAGCATTTAGACTGTAAAAGCTAGCTGAGCATCATGGGAAATGTAGTCCAGAAACAATTTATGGTGTCAAGGTAAAGCCATCAATGCTATAGATCCTGTAAACTCAATAACAAGTGTATACATTTTGTGTCATTATAGTAGTACTATATGGCTCTGCTTTAAAATAAATTTGAGCAGTGATAGCCAACATTGCAAGCCCAGCAACCCAGCTACATTTCCCAGAGAGCATGGGAGTTGGAATTTACAAACATTTCGAATGAAATGAGAATGATGGAATTATTGCTTAGTGCATTCTCTCCAAACACTGTATTTGTAAAGGAAATTCTTTATATGAACATAGTTCATTTTCCATATTTTTTTATTTATTTTTTTGCACATTGTATGGAGGTCATAAATTGAACTCTATGTAATGAAGGCAATTTTTATCTCAGTCCTGTAATAATCTTGTGTCTTATCTGCACGCACACTATCCTGTAAGAGTATTGTATCTGCACTTTATTACTTTAAACTTCAAGCATTGTGCAAAAGGAACGAGTGCAAAAATAAATAAATAAATAAAATTGGTTATTACTTTTTAAACATTTTTTATTTAGGCAGTCAGTAACCCTTTTTAAAAATTGTTTTCATTATTGGTAATTTTGAATGTTGAGTTTAATGCCGTTAGAACATTTAAATCACTGTTCACCCTTTCTGATACACCAAGAACTGAACTGCAGCTCCCATGACTCTGATTTATATTGCTGCCTATTGATCATAGAAGTTGTAGTCCCAGCAAAAGATAAAAAATAAATGTGTTTTGATCAAAACAGTAATTTTGAGAATTTTATTTTCTGAAGTTGATCATAAACTATATCAGGTAAGAATGTATAATATGTTTATTTTATTTTATTTATTTATAAAAAAATTTACCAGGAAAGATACATTGAGATTTCTCTCGTTTTTCAAGTATGTCCTGCGTCCACAAATCATTGCATTGTTACATTAGGGTACAATAAAATACAAAAACAATATTAATACACAATAAATACAAAATGTAACATAGAACAGGTAGGAAATATATAATCAACCATGACAGGTGTATTCTGTTTTGAGGTATGTAGAGAGGGATCTCTTAAAGGATTTTAGGCCTGGTGAAGATTTGAAAGTGTTGCGGGCGGTCGCTCCACAATTGCGGCGCTCTGTAGGAGAAGGAGGATCGACACGCTTTCTTTTTGTATTGAGGTAGACTAAGTAAAGTGCTGATACTGCTGATACTGGATCAGAGGTTATAGGAGGTGGAAACAGCGAGGAGAGCATTCTTCTCAGGTAGGGTGGGAGCTTCCTAGAAAAGCTCTTAAACACAAGGCTGCAAAGATGATGGGTGCGTTGGGATTCCAGCGACAACCAGTTTAGTTATTTTAGCATGTCGCAATGGTGGGTCCTGTAATTACATTGTAGCACAAATAGGCAGAACGAGTTATACAATGTATTACGTTTATTAAGGTGGGTTTGCGGTGCAGGTGCATATACTACATCCCCATAATTTGCTGTACAATCTTTTCCTTTACTGTAGAGCTTAAGCAGGATTGGTTTCTGTACAGGGCACCTAGTTTTGGATAAAATTTACAGGGAGTGCAGAATTATTAGGCAAATGAGTATTTTGACCACATCATCCTCTTTATGCATGTTGTCTTACTCCAAGCTGTATAGGCTCGAAAGCCTACTACCAATTAAGCATATTAGGTGATGTGCATCTCTGTAATGAGAAGGGGTGTGGTCTAATGACATCAACACCCTATATCAGGTGTGCATAATTATTAGGCAACTTCCTTTCCTTTGGCAAAATGGGTCAAAAGAAGGACTTGACAGGCTCAGAAAAGTCAAAAATAGTGAGATATCTTGCAGAGGGATGCAGCACTCTTAAAATTGCAAAGCTTCTGAAGCGTGATCATCGAACAATCAAGCGTTTCATTCAAAATAGTCAACAGGGTCGCAAGAAGCGTGTGGAAAAACCAAGGCGCAAAATAACTGCCCATGAACTGAGAAAAGTCAAGCGTGCAGCTGCCACGATGCCACTTGCCACCAGTTTGGCCATATTTCAGAGCTGCAACATCACTGGAGTGCCCAAAAGCACAAGGTGTGCAATACTCAGAGACATGGCCAAGGTAAGAAAGGCTGAAAGACGACCACCACTGAACAAGACACACAAGCTGAAACGTCAAGACTGGGCCAAGAAATATCTCAAGACTGATTTTTCTAAGGTTTTATGGACTGATGAAATGAGAGTGAGTCTTGATGGGCCAGATGGATGGGCCCGTGGCTGGATTGGTAAAGGGCAGAGAGCTCCAGTCCGACTCAGACGCCAGCAAGGTGGAGGTGGAGTACTGGTTTGGGCTGGTATCATCAAAGATGAGCTTGTGGGGCCTTTTCGGGTTGAGGATGGAGTCAAGCTCAACTCCCAGTCCTACTGCCAGTTCCTGGAAGACACCTTCTTCAAGCAGTGGTACAGGAAGAAGTCTGCATCCTTCAAGAAAAACATGATTTTCATGCAGGACAATGCTCCATCACACGCGTCCAAGTACTCCACAGCGTGGCTGGCAAGAAAGGGTATAAAAGAAGAAAATCTAATGACATGGCCTCCTTGTTCACCTGATCTGAACCCCATTGAGAACCTGTGGTCCATCATCAAATGTGAGATTTACAAGGAGGGAAAACAGTACACCTCTCTGAACAGTGTCTGGGAGGCTGTGGTTGCTGCTGCACGCAATGTTGATGGTGAACAGATCAAAACACTGACAGAATCCATGGATGGCAGGCTTTTGAGTGTCCTTGCAAAGAAAGGTGGCTATATTGGTCACTGATTTGTTTTTGTTTTGTTTTTGAATGTCAGAAATGTATATTTGTGAATGTTGAGATGTTATATTGGTTTCACTGGTAATAATAAATAATTGAAATGGGTATATATTTGTTTTTTGTTAAGTTGCCTAATAATTATGCACAGTAATAGTCACCTGCACACACAGATATCCCCCTAACATAGCTATAACTAAAAACAAACTAAAAACTACTTCCAAAAATATTCAGCTTTGATATTAATGAGTTTTTTGGGTTCATTGAGAACATGGTTGTTGTTCAATAATAAAATTAATCCTCAAAAATACAACTTGCCTAATAATTCTGCACTCCCTGTAGATGCAAGTTTTTCAATGTGCAGGCCAAAAGATAGATTGGGGTCTAACATCATACCCAAGTATTTGAAACAGTGGACTGCGTTCAGTGTGCTATTTGATTTTGTTTAGATGCATAGATGGGAATTTTGTAATTTGTGTAATTTAGGTACTGTTCCAAAGATCATTGTGACAGTTTTGTCAGTGTTTAGGAAGAGTTTGTTTTCTGATACGCTTTTCTACCTCTGTGAACTGGTCTTGGAGCACAGCCTCAAGCTGCGGTAGATTGGATTTGCTTGCATAGATTACTGTGTCATCTGTGAACATTTGTACATATGGATGATAGTAATTTCTGAAGTAGTGTAGGGTTTCATATACAATCTATAAATGGAAGAACAAATATTCATAGTGATCCACGGATGTCATCCTTGAGTTCCTTTTCATGTCACAGAGCCATGAAGCTTAACAAAATAGCAGAACTAGTATTGTATTAAATATAGTGCCACAATCAGCTTTTTATATCCCTCTCATTCTTATCACAAAAATCATAAACGTTTATAATCATTACAATTTCAAAATGTTATAGCTGCACTGTATTTTTTTTTCTTTCGGTTTTCCTTTCCTTATGCCAATTTGCATATATCATTATTTTACTATTTATAAAGTGCCTACAAATTCAGTAGTGCTTTACAATGGATGGACTAAAAGACACGTAATTGTAACCAGACAAATGGACGCACAGGAACAGAGTGGTTGAGGGCCCTGCTCAATGAGCTTACATGCTAGAGGGAGTGGGGTATAGTGACACAAAGGGTCAGGGGCGTATTAGCTGCGAGGCAAACAAGGCATTTGCCTTGGGTGGCATTTTTCAGGGGGCGGCAAAAAACGCCGCCCCCCAAATGCCCAGGGCAAATGCCCTGTTAGCCTCGCGGCTAACCGACATGCCGAGCGGGCGGGCGGCGCTGGCAGGCGGCTGGCGAGGGAGCATTTCCTCTGAGCTGACTGCTCAGCTCCCTCGTGCGCCGCAGAGTGAGGCTGGGAGCCGGAAGATGACGTCATCTTCCGGCTCCCAGCCTCACTCTGCAGCGCGCGAGGGAGCTGAGCAGTCAGCTCAGGTGAAGTGCTCCCTCACCAGCCGCCCGCACAGCAGCCAGCGCCGCCCAGCCCGACCGGCAGCCACTGGACCACCAGGGAGAGAGAGACCCCCCACCCCCCAGCACTCTCAAAGGTAAGGAGGCTGGGGGGGTTAAAAAAAAAAGTTAATGTGAGTGCTTGTGTGTGTGTCTGACTGTGTGTGTGTGTGTCTGACTGTGTGTGTGTGTTTGTGTCTGACTGTGTGTGTGTTTGTGTCTGACTGTGTGTGTATGTGTGACTGTGTGTGTGTTTGTGTCTGTGTGTGTGTGTTTGTGTCTGACTGTGTGTGTGTGTGTGTGTTTGTGTCTGAGTGTGTGTGTGTCTGACTGTGTGTGTGTTTGTGTCTGACTGTGTGTTTGTGTGTGTGTGTGTGTGTATTTAGAAGGTTGGGTGGGGGTGGCGCGGGTGGAAGGGAGCGCCTGAGTTTTGTCCTGCCTAGGGCAGCATAAAACCAGGATACACCACTGCAAAGGGTAAAAGTAGATGTAAAGAAATTGATTGCAAGAAAAGTATTTACTGAATGCTTAGGTTATTTTTGATAGTTGCAGGAGAGTAATCATGGTGCAGGGATTATAAGCTATTAACATTTTAATTGATATGCTTTCCTGAAGAAGTGAGTTTTCAATTATTTTTTGAAGGAGTGGAGACTGGGTGAAAGTCTAATGGAGAAGGGAAGGGAGTTCCACAGAAGAGGTGCAGTCCTGGAGAAGTCTTAAAGACTATCATTAGAGGTGGGAATACAGACAGAGGATAGACGTAGGTCTTCGGCAGAGCGCAGGGGCCTAGATGGGACATACCTGTGTATAAGGAAGTACAGGTAGGTTGGAGCAGCATTATGTAGAGACTTGTAAAAAAGCACCAGAATTTTAAATTGAGCCCTACTGGAAGCAAATGTAGGGACTGATAAGGGGAGGAAGGGGTGGGAGGTGCGGGCAGACAGGAAGATGTGCCTCACCGGTGCATTCATTATAGATTGCAATGGTGCAAGCTGGGAACATGCAAGTTTGCGAAGAAGTGGATTGCAGTAGTTAAGGCGAGAGAGAACAATGACATGGACAAGCACCTTCGGTATGTCCGGTGTTAAGTAGGGGTGGGTGTGCACTATGTTTTTGAGATGGAAGCAGCAGTATTTAGCAATTTAGCAATTGACTGGACATGAGGGGTGAAGGCAAGGTCAGAGTCAAAGAGAACACCTAGGTAGCGAGTCTGTGAGTTAGATGTGATGGAAGCGTCATTGACTTCAAGGGAGACAGACACAAAAGTAGCAACATTTGAGGGAGAAAAGACCAGAAGTTCTGTTTTGGACAGGTTGAGTTTAAGAAAGTGAGCAGCCATCCAATTGAAAATCACTGAGAGGCAGTCAGAGACATGACTCAAGATGGGCGGAGAGAGATCAGGAGACAGGGCCGGCGCGTCCATAAGGCGGCACAGGCGGCCGCCTTAGGGCGCGCGGGCTCTGGGGACGCAATATTTTAGTGACCAGCAGGAGGGAAGCTCTCCCTCCTGCCAGGCCACCATCTCGACCCCTGGCGCAGCAGTGCTGTGATCAGGCGCGGCGAGGGAGCTCTAACCTCTCTGCTCCCTCGCACGCTGTCTGCTGTTGCCGCGGGAGCCGGACTATGACGTCCTCCCACAGCATCAGTAGGCAGCCTGCGAGGGAGCAGAGGGTGGAAATTAGAGCTCCCTCGCTGCGCCTGATCACAGCACTGCCGCACGCCTCTCAGCAGCTGTGAGTGACTGAGCGTGTGTGTCTGTGAGTGACTGTGTGTGTGAGTGACAGAGTGTGTGTGTCTGTGAGTGATTGATCGTGTGTGTCTGTGAGTGACTGTGTGTGTGAGTGACAGAGCGTGTGTGTCTGTGAGTGACTGAGCGTGTGTGTCTGTGAGTGAGTGTGTGTGTCTGAGTGACTGAGCGTGTGTCTGTGAGTGACTGTGTGTGTGAGTGACAGAGTGTGTGTGTCTGTGAGTGACTGTGTGTGTGTCTGTGAGTGAGTGTGTGTGTCTGAGTGACTGAGCGGGTGTCTGTGAGTGACAGTGGAGTGAATGCCGCAGTGCCCGTGGAGTGACCGTGTGTTTGAGTGGGAGGTGGCGTGGCAGGCCCGTGACTCGTGTGTGGGAGGGACAAAGGGTGGTTCTGTGAAATACTGGATCGTGGGTGTGTCTTCAGAAAGTGACTGTGTGTGTGAGTGACAGAGTGTGTGTGTCTGTGAGTGACAGAGTGTGTGTGTCAGTGAGTGACTGAGCATGTGTCTGTGAGTGAGTGTGTGTGTCTGCGTGACTGAGCGTGTGTCTGTGAGTGACAGTGTGTGTGAGTGACAGAGTGTGTGTGTCTGTGAGTGACAGAGCGTCTGTGTGTGTCTGTGTGTGACAGCGTGTGTGTCTGTGAGTGACTGAGTGTGTGTGTGTGTGTGTGTGTGAGTGACAGTGTGTGTGTGAGTGCGTCTGTGTGTATGTGTCTGTGAGTGATTGTATGAGTGTGTCTGCATGTGAGTGTATGAGTGTGTCTGTCAGTGTATGATGAGTGTGTTTGTCAGTGTATGAGTGTGTGTCTGTCAAATCAGTGAGAGTATGTTTGTCATTGAGCCTGTGTGTGACTATCAGTGTGTCTGTCAATGAGTGTCAATCAGTGTGGGTCTGTCAGTGTCAATGAATGAGTGTGTGACAAATCAATGAGTCTGTGTCTGTCAGTGACGTCTGTGTGTTTGTCATTGAGTGTGTGACTGTCAGTGTGTACAGAGTGTAACGGAGCAGAGCGCGGTACAGTAGCTTCTGTTTCCTGTACCTGGCCAGACTGACAGGAGGTGCTCAAAGAAAGAGCACTCCCTGTCAGTCCGGCCGGGTACAGAAAACTGAAGCTCCTTTAGGGGATCTGCTCCGCTCTGCAATGCAACAATAGAGGAAGTAGGCAAACCAGGAAGGGGAGTGTGACCACTAAAGGGGTGTGGGGTGCACCAAGGGACAGGGAGAGAATGGGAGAGAAACACCAAGAGACAGGGAAAAGAGGGGGGAGAAGAACACTGAGGGACAGGGAAGGGACCAATAATGGTTGGGGAGGGGAGAGGGGCTGGTTAAGAGGCACATAGGTGAAGATGTTTTTTTGGGGGGGGGGCGGAAAGATGCATCTTCGCCTATGTACCTAAAAATCCAAGCACCGGCCCTGTCAGGAGAGGACAGGTAGATTTGCGTGGCATCTACATATACGATTATAATGGAAGCCAAAAGGAGCTGATGAGTTTACCAAGGAAGGCAGTGTAAATAGAGAACAGTAGGGGACCAAAGACAGAAGCTTGGGAGAGCCAGAGAAAGAAACATTGAAAGTGCGCAGGGAGAGGTAGCAGGAGCACCAGGAGAGAGACCAGGATTACGGAGAATGAGAAGAAGCTAGTGATGATCAACAGTGTCAAAGGCAGCAGAAAGGTCAAGGAGAATTAGGATTGAATAATGACCATGAGATTTAGCAGTGATTAAATTGTTGGATACTTTGGTCACAACCATTTCGACAAAGTGACAAGTGCAGGACTCAGATTCAAGGAAGTCTGTCAATCACGCATACACAAATCTATCAAGGATTTTGGAGGCAAATGGCAGAAGCGAGCTAGGACGGTAGTTGGATGGGGAGTTGGGGTCAAGGTTGTTTTTCTTTTCCCTTTTGTGAGTCAGGCCACATACTTCAGTTTGCCCTTTTGTGAGATAATTTTGACTGGTGGATTGTGGGTAATTTATATCGGGCAAAAGCATATTATTCACGAAATGAGTACATACTGTTTATGCAAAAAAAAAATATAGAATTTCCATAATTAAAAAAAATGAGGGCAAATCAAGGAATATTGCCACTTTAAAAGGAACGTTTTCAAATATATCTCCCCACATTTGATTCTCTATGATTGACCGTGTTCCAGTATGGTACAGTCCAAGAGTCAAGAAGTAAGGTTCCTGGCTCCTATACCCAAAGGGATTTGAGACGTGGCTTGAAGTTGCAATTCCAAGCCCTCTAATTAGTGAGCTAGATGATTTGTGGGATTGGAGAGAGGATGGGCAGGACTGCAGTGTCATTTTAATCATTGGGGGTGTGGGCCTGAGATCCTTTGTGTAGGTGATGGGATTAAACAATTCAAAACTTTTCATATCAATTAGTATGTGAAAATCCCTTTCTGTGGAGCACGAAAATAAATATTGCTCCCTGGCTTTCTCCTGCATACTTGTTGCCTCTGTAAAATGGCAGATGACAGAGTAATGTGCTCTAATGCCTAAGCCTTCCTAAGATTCTTGGAATTTGATCACTGTATACGATTGTTAAGAGAAAGTTTCAGGATCAGCAAGAATACTACTGAAGGGTTACCGCAAGCACCATGACCACCAGGTTAGTGATTTGAAATGGTTGTGATGCCTAGAGCCCGGATCTGCAGCTGGTCAGTATGAATCGCTGCACAAAAGAAGTCTTAATTCTACCTCCCGCAGCGTCATTGGGGTGTTATCTGTCGCGATATTTATCAATCTCTTTACTGCAAATGCAATGCTATATGTGAAACTGGAGAGTCTGACTATAGGAATGCTATGACCCTTTGAAACCTCTTTTACTGTTTGGAAGCGGTGGATTGAATTTACATTTTCAGCAAGTTTGCAGGCATTGTCTCAGTTATTAGTGGCTTCCGGCTAAGAAGTTTGTTCCTCTCAAGGCTTTTAATCATTCTTAAAGTATAAATAAAGATGAATGAGGCTTCATGGACTAGATTCCATACTGTAAAATACATAAAAATAAATTAGTTTCTAATTGATTGGGTTAGTGAAGTGGTTAAGGTTGTGTGTTGTTCTTTCTTTTCATTAACCATTAGATAATGGAAAATGCTACAAAGATTATGTTCCAACATATGTTACACTACAGATTTATGTGGTCTTACATCCACCCACAGTGTTTACAAACATATTCTATTCAACCACCTCAATACATCACAAAAAAAATGTTGCACAAATAGCTGTTCAGTAAAACCTATCATTAAAGTGACCATGCCATTTAGACTTTCTTTCCATAAGTAAACTTATAAGATCATTCCCAACTATAAATACTATTAATCTGTAAACAAAATATAATGAGCTCAACTGTAATGATCACTTAAAAATCTGATACTTTTTTGATGGGGAGGTGGCCATCTTGGAATCGCATCAAATCACTCTTTAATGTAGTGTGTGTGTGTGTGTCTGATGTCACTAATCCATCTAAATCAACCCACCACTGAATAGCATAACCTGTTCAACAAAGTTAAAGTTGGTCAACAAGGTAAATAGGCCGTTTAGAATTTGCCATTTAATTGTTAATGCATTTCTGATGGCAGTGTTCGTTTAACAGGAATGGAACTGTCAAAGTTATTCAATTCCCAGAATATGGGATAAAGTTCATTACCGTGCAAGCTTGAATGCCTAACCCAGCTTAATTAGAAAAAGTACAAGATCTAAAGCAACTCAGGATAACCTGTGGGGTTTTTATTCTGTACATTATCACTTATTCTTGTGCTCTCTGAAACTACACAGATAAATTAAATACTGTGTTTTCTCTTAAAGTTTGACATGGTTACTACAATAAAGTGAGGACAAGGATTAAGGATAAATCAGCTCATCAAACGTGCATAAAATAAACCATAATCACATCTGCAAGAGGGAGAAACACACCTCCTATTAGTTAACTCGTAATTTTCATTCTCGTAAAAGCTGTATTTAATCCAACCTGCATGTTCCATGTTGAGAACAGACATAAGGTTAATAGCTAGCAATCAATAGCAATACTATTACATGGTCTGACTAGATTTATATTCTGAATGCAATATCCAGTTACAGCAATCTTTTGTTTTTTAGATTGTATGCTCATTAGGTCAGGGCCCTTTTCACTTAACGGTTTCGGTCTTCTTTCATCTATTACACAGCACTGCTGAATATTTTGGCGCTGAAAATAATTGTAATTAAAACAATATATCAGCCTATGATTAATGACATTCAGATTGTAGCTCTACACAGATTGGATATGATTTAAAAGCTTAGCCTAAGCACCAAAAATCAATTCCCCTTAAGCGATTCCTTGGACATGATATGCTTCTGTCCACAGCGGTTTCTCTTGCAGCCTTGGAAATAAATACAGTGCCATTTAAACCTCTCCCCCTGCCCTCCCCCCATCCCCCAAAGAACGCCCCCCCCCCAAAACCACCAAACCCACTGTTAACATGTTGCAATTTTCATTGCTACTATTAGGCAAACAGTGACTAGGCTCTATGATGAAAACAGATGCAATTTTTGAATCCAGTGCCTGATGCTGGACATTATTTTCATCCAATGTTTCTCTAGGAGAAGCACTGGGTTCAATGCCTCTAACAAATAAGCATTTGCTTGGTAGAGCATGACATTGGCCACACTTGTGCCATGTGTACGCAATGATTCTCTATGAGGGAAGGAGATTGGACTGCAGTAAGGAGACTGTTCAATCGAGAGAGAGATGTGCTGGTCTTGTATGCTGTATGAATTGTCCCTAGCAGCACCCTGATAACATTTTCATGCTCAGGTGAGTGCTGCCCTCTTGATTTCATATTAATAAAAAGTCAACCTACAACCCTTTTGTATCCAGAGTACCTTAAAAGATACATACAAACATATAGTGTAAAACTGTAAATGTATTCTTCCACAACCTCTTTCTCCTTAATAGAACTCTTACACAATAAGATTGTGGCTGTTTCCAATACCCACAGAAAAACATGTGTTAAATAACTCAAAGCAGCATTGAAGTGTTTTAGGCTGTGGGTTACCACTCCGCCAATCCGCTCGGTATGATGAGTCTCCTCATGGACCGGTGGTCGATGGCATGCTGAAATCGCACACCATGCACAAATTTAGGGAAGCTGGATCTGTAGGCTGTCTCTGCAGGCTGGGAGTTGCTGGCTGCACTGTCTATAGCTGTTCCACAGGGAGCATTTTGTATT